AAGTTGGTTCTTCTCATACACTATTGACATGACCAAACTTTGTTCGCTTTGATTGATTATTTTCACTATTCATTTCATGATATAATATAATCCTATCACATTTTTTTGTAAAAATTTTATCTAATTTTTAAATATATAATTTAACACATACAATCAAATAAATCGGATTCAAAATAAAGTTGATCAAACAGCATAACACGCAGTGGTCATGTCAAGTGTTTTTTGTAAAACTTTTTTAATCTAGATTTTAAATACAAAGTTTTATTTTATAATTTTACACATACAATCAAAGAAAATCAATTTAAAATAAAGTTGGTCAAACCACGTCACAGAATCGAAGGGAGTATAACATTTTCTTTTCTTGGAGATGAACCTAAAAAGAAAAAGATGAAAAGAATGTCTCCAAAAGTGGTACTCCTTCCCCTCAAAAAAGAGAAAAGAAGGGATGAAAAGGTTGGAGATAAATAAAAATGGGATGTCAATTAAGCAACAGAGAATAAGATATGTTCCGCTAAAACCTTGTGCTATTCGGAGTGGAATCTAAGCACAATACCGTTATGCACCTCTGCCCCATGGCCTCATAGTACAGGGGGAGAGAAATGCTAGTCAGAACTTGCAAATAAAAAATGACACGAACTTAACATTTGTAAATATAGATTTCTACGGAGTACTTTTTAATGAACTGTGGGCATTTTGAACCAGTCCACAAAGGGAAAGTTGGTGAACTTGAACCTTGTAGGGATGATCATAGACAAAACAGACCAACTATTTAAGCTAGCTAGACAGTGATTAGAATTAAGAATGCAAATTGAAAAACCAACATGAATCCCAAAGAAGCATACAAATGTAAAAAACTTACACACACACAGGGATTCCAATAGGTGGAATCTTATTTTGGAACTAATAGTTACGTTTCACGGATGCATACAAATGCCAATCAAACCTTAGCGGGCGACTAAACCCAGTGTTAAATAACATCTTACCAATCTCCTCGCGTAGATTCCCATGGAAAGGTGGGCCCCGAGATTCCAAAAGCCGAAAAGTATCCACAGATTGAATCCGACCATCCCCATCAAATGCAACAAGTATGTCGTCTACCCCATGGTAAGTATGGAGAATTCCAAGAGTTGTAGAGCATCCCCTGATTGGGTTTGGGCATACCAACCACCCCATATCAATGAAGTATTCATCACTAGTCTCCTCACCATCTACGGTACAAGTAACCACGACGACGTTTGAATGCTTTCCCTTGATATTGTTTTTATACCACGCAGCCAATTTATCAACAAAACATTCACTCGCCTCTGAGTATATATAAAGAACAACAATCTTGCCCTTAAGCACTTGTGGCACAGGAACCTTATCAATGGAGCCAGAATCAAGCTTGCGAAAAACATGTGTCGAAGGAAGTAACGAGTTCAGTCTCAGTCCCCTTACCCTTTGAAGTTCATTGTTGATCAACTCCCCCATGGTGAAGGGATAACCGCCGATGCCAAAGTCACAGATGATTGGCATTCCATAGGCATCAACACACTATTTAATAGGATCCACTATGAAAAGACTTTCCTTGCCGCTGTCAATTTCACACATTCTCCTTAGCCTATGGCACACGGTGTTGTCGAAGGGGAAATACCACCAGCCTAGCAGCTTAAAACGTGCAAGAGCATCAATGATTAACTTCTCTTGGAACTCTGGGGGCACCTGCCCATCGAAGGGAAAGCACACCACCACAATCTCAAGGTCATACCCTTTCTCCTTACATTCCTTGTAGACCTCCTGAAGCCTTCTTAAACTTGTAGCCGCAGAGCACACATAAAGCCCCACAAGCTTGCGTTTAAGTTCTGAAATAGTAATACAACCATCCTCCTTCAACCTGCCGCCGGTGAGAGATTCAATGTTGTAGAGAACATCAGTGTCACTAAGGCCCAAAAGCTCATTGAGGGAGAGATCCTGCCGATCTGTATCAGGGCGTAAACAAATATCCCCTCTCCCCGGAGTAAAGTGAAAGCAATCAATTTCAGCTACTCCATACCAAAGAAACATGAAGGGCGGGCCATGGTATATAACCTTCTGAGATGGATCTAGAACCAAAACTATAAGCTCACCATCAAAACGGAGGGCTGAGCAAATGTACTCGCGCCGATAGGAGTCAACGAAAGGGACAGCGAGGCAGGAAAAGCCCGACAAGAATTGTTGATAGGCAGAGCAGTGATGAGTGAAACCCTTCCTCATCATTGGCACCACCACCAGCACAATATCATCTCTTTTAGCAATCTCATGAGAAGCTAAAGCTGTGTGATAGACCATGGTTCCATCCTCAGAGTCCCATGTAGAAGGCGCAAACACGCAACAAATAATAACATATTTACCCTTTAGGTTTAGGGTGCTTTCCACATTAACATTCTCTTTGTCTGGTGTTGTGCTTGAGGAACAGGCCATAACAGTATTACTTTTAACAATATCATTGACACAAATTCTGGCTCCAGGGGGTTGAACATCAGGATTACGCTTGCCCGGTGTACAAATGCTCAATTTAGACATATGTATACTATTAATACCCCTGTCCGCACCCATTTTTGGATCATGCAAACCCACATAACTTCTGAATTGGTTGGGCTGAATACTGGGAATATTTTGGCTACTGGTGTTGAAACTCAAGAGATTATTCCCTAGCAAATCTGAAACATTCAGTTGTTCTCCTACCGCAATAGTGGGTGCATGTGGGAAGGGGTGCCGATAAAAGGGGCGTTCGGCATCAAGATAATCGTTTAGATCATCATTTTCAGTTGGAGAGGGTGGGGGAGAGTCCCCTCCTGATTCCCACCCGGAGCAGGCATAAAGAAAGAAATTTTTGAGCCATTGCTGTCGAGACCTTGATACATTTGGAAAGAATGCATCCAGCTTCCTCGCCGGACCTACACAGAAAAATTAAATCATACTCTATAAAATTTAATGAGATTGATTGAACTCATAAACAGTTACCCCATGATTGATCTATGATGGTTTAAATTAATAACCTGATAAAGCTTTCTTTGGCGTCGATCGGCGGCGACGCAGCGCCTTATGTTGATAAATCCACTTTCCACAACCATCATTCGTAGCTAACGGATTTTCATCACTCCATCGCACCTCCACCTCCATCCTTTTTCACTTCGATTCAGAACCCAAATAACCCTAACCAGACCCCTCTCTCCCCTACCTTAATTTCTTTTTCTTTTTTTTACGGGGTATATACACATTGTAACACGAACAGCTCGGTTAAGAGTATACTCCGTATATATTACCCACGCCGGCCCAATTATTTATTGGACTCATGTCAGTAGGGCCTTTACTATAAAAAATAATCTATTCCTTTTTTATGTTTCTTCATTTTACTACTTCTGTCCCATAAAGAGAGAGACATATTGACTAAAGTAGTAAAATAAGAGAGTGATAATTTTTTATTGATTTTTCGAGAATACCATTGATGTGATGGGTAAAAGTAGGATATGATGTTAGATTATTGGTAAAAATGTATGATGTAATATGTAGGGTATGAAAAAAGTAATGAGTAAAAGTGATTTTTAAATTGAAATGAAAAGGTAATTGTGGAATACCATTTTTTTGAAACGTCAAGGAGTTTTTGGGACGAAGGGAGTATAGTAAGTTTATTTATAAACTTGATTCAAATTTTAATTATGTGTGCATGATTCTTTTATGATAAGACATTATATATATGAGCAAAACATGCATCATGTCTCCAAAATAGAATCGGTTTGGATGGTCCAATCTATTTCACCAATTCGTTAGTCATGTATTGATTGATTATTTGGGGTAACCCAGTCTGTTAGGCCAACCCATTAGTTTTTATATATGAGTTGGGCCTAAACCCTAACCCTAATTCCCCTACTCATATATCCTATTTGAAGAGGGGGAGGGTCATTCATAATACACACACACTATTCTTCTTCTTCTTCTTCAATACAACACCCTTCTCCGTTTTTTCTTTTACATCACACATTCCTCTTCTCCTACAATAATGGAGTCTTGGTCTAGCTACCTTAGACCCAATTTTCCATCAATAGTGCTCTCGTTGAGAGCATTTGAACATATCAAGCTACTCTTTATCATTTTCTTATTTTTATTAATAACTCCAATTTGTATTTTCCTTTTGTAACGCCCTGCAACTAGGGGTGTATACGAATCGTATCGAAGCAAATATATCACTATTCGATTCGTATTCGATTAAAGTGATATTTATTCGAATTCGGATTCGTATATAATTCGAATTTAAAAAACATTCGTATTCGATTCGATAGATATTTGACGTATTTGAATTCGTATTCGAATATTCGAATTCGAAAATATTAGAAATGTTTTTTTTTAAAACAGATTTCTTAAAGACATTAAACTATTATTTTATAATAATGTAAAATGTAGTAAAAAAAAGTAGTAAAAATATGTTAGAATATATAAAAATTTATTTATAAATTATAATATTCGAATATATATAAATTTATATGTACACAAAAATTTAATATGTTAAAATATGTTAAAAAATGTACACAAATATTTAATATATTAGAATATATATAAATTTATTTATAAATTATAATATTCGAATAATTTGAATAATAAACGAATCGAATATAATAATATTTGTATTCGGATTCGAAAATAATTCGAATCTAAAATACGATTTGTATTCGGATTCGAATTCGAATATAGCGAATACGAATCATCCTTTTTGAATACGAATCACGAATCGAATACATTTTATTTGATTTGTATATACCCCTACCTGCAACCCGATCTAATAGAATTGATTAATTTAATTAATTAATTACTGTCCAAACCGGAGTTGGGGAAAATAAAAGTTCTTAGAAAAATTATTTGGTCATATCATTAAATTTGTTTTGACTGTCTGATTACAAAAACGCAAACAGATCTCAATTCGGACCCATTCGGGGGAGAAACCGCGTACCGTTCAGGTCAGATTTTACATAACGGAATAGAATTTAGGGAGATAACTCTCACTTCAATTCTCACGCCACCTCACACACACCTCTTTCATTTCTCATTTAATCCCCATTATTCCCACATTCAATATAATCCTTCTTCCCCTTCATTTCCTTAGCACCTTGTAACCCCCAAACCATAACTCCCTCACTCTCTCTTCCTATCCTTTCCCTGGTTCGCCCACACAACAGCTCACCAAGGGGAATACCGGCAAGAAGACGCGGAGGAAGAGAAGGAAGTGCACGTGTGAAGCAGGCCGTTCGCTTGTTCGTTTGTTCGTTAGGCGTCCGTCTGTTCATCCCGTTCCATCGTTCCGTCAATCCCTGCGTTTAGAGGTGAGTAGTTGTCCCCTCTAATTCTAGAACATTCAGTTATAATCTATGCCGTTATATTCAAAGGAATATCATGCGCAACCTACGTAGAATCTATGCATGTTCGTAGGTTAGCAATCAAAACATTCACTATGTAAAACTTATATATATTGGCCTAGGAATCACTAGGAATATATTCATCAATGTTTGTACTATTGTTCTAAAAAGAATCAAGGTGTTAAGTTTTCAAAATGGATTAAAACGAAACGAAAGACTGAGGACTGTCTTCGAGCGGTCGACAGCCGCTACAGACGGTGGACCGTTCCCTCGGCCATTCTGACGGTCACCACGGTCAGAATGGGTACGGTCGACCGTTGGTGACCCAGACCCAGACCGTAGCCCACAGTCGACCGTCGTTAGGGTACGGTCGACCGTTCTTCGGGCAGAACTTCGTGCAGTTTGTAGAACGAGCCCCGTTGACCACATTGACCCAGAATTGGTTTGTATTTTTGTATGAAATGTTAATTTTCATTATAAATGTTATTTAATTGATATATTCTTGGCGTTGACCAAAGGTAAATATATCAAGCATTCATCATGTTCATTCTAGACGCATGCCCTAGGTTTTTCATCATGTGCATACCGCTGTAGGGAGGTCAGGCTTTCGTGCGCCTACTACAGTGGGCCCGTCCAGGAACCTTCGGGATCCAACGGGTTTTCATCAAGTGGGCCTTGTGTACGTACATAGTAGTCAGGTTACGACTACTACCCGGTTTTGCTAGTCCACTTGCGACGTTTACGTTGAGCCCGACTCATTACCGTTTCCGGTAAGATAACCAGAGTGCATGGGTGATCCTGTCAAGTGAGACTAAGCCAGGGGTGTCCCTGATAGTTTAAGTCATGCATCAAGTCATCATCATGTATGTTTCTCATCACATCAACATTCAATGTGATTGTATATCATTTTGTTATGCGAAATAATACCCCACCAAGTGCAGTTTGAACAGTTAGTAAACATGTGGTTTTTCCGTACAATAATTACAGGTATCAATATGTATGTAATCATATGGGTTATCACTTTATGTTCTTTTGTTAGATTCACTCCTCATCTTTTGCTGAACGTGTAGTTGTTTTTGCTATACGCAGGTAGACATGACGGTGCAGGTGCTAACCCTAGAGGGCAGTGATGGTGGGAGGATGGACGGCGCGGACGAGTTTAATATTATATTTACTTAATTAATTAATCTCTTGGGCTTGAACCCACCATTGTCGTTTTACTTATTTTGGATTGGACTTAATTATTTACTTCCATATTTACTCTGCATTTATTTCACACATGTTTTGGGTATAACTCTCTAGCATTTATTTCACCAATTAAACCCAACCGTTTTTCATAATAAATACAAATTAATGTTTTACGTTACGGACGGTTCTCGGACTGCCCATGTAACCCTACCGGTCCGTTGGGTCGCGGGTGAACCGGGTCCACGGAATGCGGGTGTTACACCTTTGTTTAAGCTTTTTCGTCTGTTCATCAATTCTTATTACCAAGAAACACCAAAGCCTAAGATCTTGGGTTTGGGAACAAGATCTGTGTATGCTGAGTTGCTGAATAATAGATCCCGACTTTGGGAACTAGATGCCCGTCCTAGTCATTCTGCTTTGACCAAGGCTATGGGGTGGGTCATTGTGCCGCTCCATAGCATTCTTCTCTCACCGGAGTTCCATGTGCCATTGGCTTCAACTTTGCCCCTTCTTCATGAAGACCTTGGTGTGACAACTTCGTGCACTGCATGTCGGAGCTCAGGTTCTGTAGGTCCTAAGACGTGAGAGATTATCTCCGCCTGTGACGCCGAGGACTGCTCGTCACGGCGATCCTCCATCCCTGAGACAGATGGAGTAGACCTAGTCACACAACCCAAATCGATCAATATTTTTTAAGTTCTTTGCTTTGTTCTGGTTTCCAGCAATTTCGTTCTCATTTGCGGTAGAGGTGCTGCAACTACTGTTCCACATTCAGGCAATTTTGTTTATATTTGCAGCCATCACGTAATCTTCCAAGTTGGATTATCACGGATCTTCCTTCGTCCATCCCTTCATCCTAAAAAAGAACATGTGTTTGATTTGCACAAATGGCTGATTAGTCAAAAGCTCACATCCTCGAGTGCCTATGCCGCATCTCGACGGACTGCCAGATTTCTCTGGTTACGATTTCTAGTCACGATGGCCAAAACTCTCTGATCACAAATTGATTTGCATCTATAGAACTTGAACAGTGTTAGTGCCGATTCAAAGATCAAGAACCCGAGTTTCAATCAAAGGACCTTCCGATCACCAATTGGTGGCTTTCATCGGTAGAGAATACCATGGAGGTATCAGCTTGTACTCCTACAATCGGAGACCACAGGAGCTTCTTGCCCAGTCACTTACTCTCTCTAGTTATATATATAATTTTTGTTAAGGGTATAAATAGATAATATACTTGTTCAAGTAAATCAGATCAGATGTTGACATCGGAATGTCCCCTCTAGGTCTTTACAATTCAATTCAATGAGTATTGAGTACTTTTGAAAAGTAAGAGGACCTTGGAGTCTTTATCACAAAACTAATGTCACCTTCCAGTAATTTTTTAGGGTGACACGAGTTTTGTCGAAATAACTCTCAGGTCCCTCTATTTTCAAGAAGACAAGTGAGGTCCTTATATTTTGTTATAATGACTGGGAGGGGACATTTCATCCAATATTTCATTCATAATTGTTAATAAATGTATTTTTTCCTATTTGTCCATTACCGTTTTTTCCTATTTTGCCATTACTCGGTTTTTTCTTTTTGGGAAAGTTTTTTAATTTATTTATTTTAATATAATACAAACAATTTTGAATTTTTATACGATTTTATAGAAGAATTTATAAAATAACACTTTAGAAAAGAGTAACAAAAAAAGGAAAACAAAGAAATATAAAAATGAGAGACCTAAGATTTATTACATTAAAACATTTAGAAAAAATAGGAAAAAATACATTTATTAACGTTTATGGATGAAATATTGGGTGGAATATCCCCTCCCAGTCATTACAACAAAATGTAAGGACCTCTGTTGTCTTTTTAAAAATAGAAGGACCTGAGAGTTATTTCGACAAAACTCACGCCACCTCAGAGTTATTTCGACAAAACGAGTGCACAACTAAAATAATGAAACATACGAAATGAATATTTAATTAGTTGTGAATGAGTATTCACCATGGATACAGATGTAAGAGAACTATCATAGATTTGGTTGTACCATGTATATTGTCGCAGAAGATGGTGTGCATAATTTCAACGTCCACATTGATCATGGAGGTGTAGTTTAGCATCTATGTATTTGTTGGAGAATGCTTCACTTGTGGGGTCAAATACCAGAATTACAAAGGCATTCAAGCAAAGTACATTGTGGATTTTTCATACAAGGCAAATGAAGATTTGTTTATTGTTGAGATAAGTATTTTCAATATTCTTTTAGCGATAAAAATAGAAAGTTATGCGAGAATGTCCATATAAATCTTGTATATTTTATAAAAGTGTAGATTGTACTTCTCAATTTTATTAAGAAAAATGCAACCAATATTGTCTAAAGTGGAGAACCCAAATTCACCCAATGAATTCAGACCAATAGCATGTTGTAATGCCATTTATAAGGTTATTTAAAAAATCCTTAGTCACAAATTGAAGAAGATCCTTCCATATGTAGTGAATCTCAATCAAGGGGAATTTGTGAAGGGTAGATTGTTGATACACAATGTACTATTATGCTAGGAACTTGCAAAGGGATACAATAGGAAAGCCACTTCACCCAGATGCTTAATGAAGATTGATCTTAAGAAGGCTTATGACTCAATTAGCTGGAAGGCCATCAGAGACATTATGGAGGCAATGAAATTCTCCTCACAATATGTTAAGTGGGTACAATTCTGCATCTTTAGTACAGCTTATACACTGCTGATCAATGGTGAAAGTTTTGGCTACTTTAAGGGTGGCAAAGGCATTAGACAAGGTAATCCCTTATCCCCCCTTCTATTTACACTGGTTATGGAATACTTAACTAGAACTTTTACCTACTATGTGGTAAAAATAAGTTTAAGTACCATCCAATATGCAAAGGACTGAACATTATAAATCTGGCTTTTGCTGATGACCTCATTGTGGCTTGTAAGGCTGATATGGATTCAATCAAAATGATTCTCAGTAGTTTGGAACATTTCAAGAATGTTACTGGGCTGGAAGTGAATTACAATAAATCTCAAATGGTCTTGGGGGGTGTCAGTGAACAAGAGGCTAGGGAATTTCTGAGGCTAGCAAAAAAGAGCAGAGGAGAACTCCCTTTCAAATATCTAGGAGGACCTATAATAGCTAGTAGAATTACTGAGAGGGAATGTGAAGCCTTAGTCCAAAAATTGACTGCAAGAATAACAGTATGGGCTACCAAACATCTGTCCTACGCAGGGAGATGTAAACTAATCAATTCTGTATTGCTAGGGATCATCTCTTTTTGGTGTAGGCTTTTCATCATACCCAACAAAGTGATGCAGAAGATTCAGAACTTGTGTAGAAATTTTGTTTGGAGCTCCAAAGCTGATTACACTAGAGTTCCAGCTGTATCCTATCCTGGGAAGATGTATGCAGGCCTAAGAAGGAAGGGGGTTTGGGAATCAAAAATCTAGTGATGTGGAACTATGCTTGTAGCCAGAGTCTCCTATGGGATTTTGCAAATAAAAAGGACGTACTATGGGTCAAATGGATACACAATAGGTATCTAAGAGGAACTACAATATGGGACATCAAAGTTAAACCTGGAATGTGTTACTATTTGAGGAAAACTCTCCTGAATAGAAGGATGTTTGTAGACATGAATGTAATGGGGAATTATGAAGTTCAAAAGGGATATGAGTGGCTAATGGGTGTCAGCACTGAATTCCAAGCATACCATATAGTATGGAACAAGCTAACAGCTCCAAAACATCAGTTTCTGAGCTGGCTAGGATGGAAGAACAGGATCAGCACCAAAGTCAGACTGAATAAGTTCATGGACATAGACACTAACTGTGTACTATGTTCTAATGGTGAAGAAGACAAAAATCATCTCTTCTATACATGTCCTTACACTAGGGATATTATGGAAGAGATTGGACAATGGCTACAGTTTAGATGGAAGGCTACCAATGATGAAGAAATGAAGGAAGAAATCAAACGCATTAAAGGGAGGAAACACAGACAAATAATAATGGCTGGTTTTGCAGCCATTTGCTACGCAGTTTGGAAGGCTCGCAACCACAAAATTAAGCAAAAGAGGAGTATCTCAACTGGAGAAAGCAAAGAGTGGATTAAGTTTCAGTTGAAAACTTATGTAAACTACAAGCTTAGGAGTATGGTTTTGTGTTGAGTTCCTCGAGTGCATTAGCCCTGTATTAGCTATTGTGTTTCTGTATTTTGGATGTTTGATGACTGTTGAGATGGTGAATAAAAATTTATGTGCATCTGTTCAAAAAAAAAGAAAAGTCTATTAAGAGGGAACGAATGTTCTAAATCATTTTAATGATTTTCAAAATGGTATAAAAAGTTGAATATTAGTATGATTTGTCATTTTGATTGTGGTATATAAATATTTTGCAGATGCTGAAGCAAAAGAAGAAACAAAAGAAGAAGCAAAAGAAGAAATCCAAGGCAAAATCAAGTAAAGATAAGGCACAAGTATCGCATCGGTTCATTGGTCCAAACTAATTGAATGGAACCAATTGACTTTTACCTATTATAGGGTGCATTATGCTGGTGAATAATTGGAATATGTTACTGTTTTCACAGGACAAAAATGAACCCCCAGAGAAATATAACTTGATCGTTGCACAAGCTGAGAGCGAAGATGATGATACAATAAAGAGCAATGCTGAGGAGATGACAAGGAATACGGTATGCTTCCTAGATACTAATGGGAAGGGAAACATAGAGCAACGTAGAGAACCAACAATTTAGCGTAGTTCACCTAAAACTTTTGTGCTCCATACTTTTATTTCCTTTTCTACTATTACATATATAAGGTATAAGTTTACAATTTCTACTATTACAGATAATCGGCACACATGTTTCTCATTTTTCTTTTAGGAAAGGGTGCTTCTTTGGTGCACCTTGGGTGCATATCAATTTGGTTGACCTTCTCACATTAATTTTGCTCATATGTATGTCAATGGGTCCACCATAGAATTTGCCTTAAGGAAAACATTTGTTTTAGCAAAATGAGTAATAATTTTGTTTACAATACTTTTATTTCTCCTTCCTCTCACGGTTGGAGGATTTATCATCACTTTTTTTTTGTCTAAATTAGGGATGCGCGAAACCCGAGTCGGACCACAATCGAAATAAACTGAAAAAAGAAAGTTAAGAAACCAATTATTAGCTAGACCGGTTTAATTCTGGACCGGTCTCAAGTCTAAAGGTTGAAGACTAGAATAATTTGACTTTTACATATTATGAATATGTGCATTATGCTGGCTAATAATTTGAAAATGTTCTGACTGTTTTTGCGGGACAAAACTGAACACACAGAGAAAAATTCATTTGACTGTTGCAAAAGGTGAGAGCGAAGATGATGATACAGTAAAGAGTGATGCTGAGAAGAGAATGATGAATGAGATATGCTTCCTAGATACTAATGTGAAGAGAAAGGTAGAACAACATAGAGCACCAACAATTCAGCATAGTTCCCCTAAAACTTTTGAGCTCGATACTTCTACTTCTTTTTCTACTATTACATATACTAGGTATAAGTTTACAATTTCTACTATTACAGAGAGTGGGCACACACTTCTCTCATTTTTATTTTGGGAAAACATTTTCTTTGGCAAAATGAGCAATAATTTTATTGGCAATACTCTTATGTCTCCTTCCTCTCACGGTTTGAGGATTTATCATCCAATTATTAGCCACACTGGTTTAATTCTGGACCGGTCTCAAGTCTAGAGGTTGAAGACTAGAATAACTTGACTTTTACCTGTTATAAATATGTGCATTATGCTGGTCAATAATTTGAAAATGTCTTACTGCTTTTACAGCAAAAAACTGAACCCACAGAGAAAAATAGCTTGACTGTTGCAAAAGGTGAGAGCGAAGATGATGATACACTAAAGAGGGACACTGAGAAGAGAAGGACAGATGAGGTATAAGTTTAAGAAAAGTTCCCCTAAAACTTTTGCGCTCAATACTTTTATTTCTTTTTCTGCTACTACACATATTAGGTATAAGTTTACAATTTCTACTATTAGAGATAGTGGGCAGACACTTCTCTCATTTTTCTTTTAGGATAACTTCTGCTTTGGCAAAATGAGTAATAATTTTGTTGGCAATACTTTTATTTCTACTTCCTCTCACGGTTCGAGGACTTATCATCACCTTTTGTTGGTCTGAGTTAGGGATGCAAGAAACCCCGGTCGGACCACAGAGTCAAACCTAACTGAAAAAACCAATTATTAGCTAGACCAATTTGGTTCAAGACTGGTCCCAAGTCTAACGTTAAAGACTTGAATAATTTTGTTCCAGTCTGGTTTAAATCTTCCCACTTTCTTTTTTCGGGTGTCTTATTAATTTTCCCATTTCTTTTTAAATAAAGAATATCATTTTATGTTTCACATTCATTCTCTCTCCTCTTCACAAAACTCAACCACACAATTTTACCTTTCGTAAACTCCATGTAAAGTCAAAATGAGAAGATTATTTAGGGACAAAGGGAGAATGTCTAAAAGATATGGAACACTCTCGGCGTTGGTGGATGAGTGTGATCAACATACTGATAAGCTGAAGGGTGTTGAAGACTCTCACCTCGTTCGTAGATGAGGGCGACCACCATCAACATCCTCTTCTTTTGGTTCATCTTCATAGGGAACATATACATGATCTCTATTTTGCAAATGGTCATCATGAACTTCATCTTCAAGTTGAGTTGTTATTTTTGTAAAAAAATAGTCATTCTAAAACATGTTGAATCATCTGTAGGAGTAAGAACTTCCCACTCTCTTGTGTTGATATTCTTGATAGTTTGGTTTTCAACAATGATTGACAACATCTCAGCTCCCAATCAACAATTTGTGCACGGATCATATAACTTACAACCAAATTCATCTTTGTCAAAGCTAATAAACACACATGGTCGTGTTTAGATATCAATCTTGTCTTTCTCCCTTTGGAACATGAATGAAACCTTTGCACCCAAATACTTTCATAGCTTCTCTAGAGCCTTACATTGAAGAGGGACACACGGTGAGTGATTCAACATATACATTGTTGTAAGTAGAGCTTTACCCCAAAAAGATTTATGCAACTTGATTGAGAGAACAAGCATCTTGTTCTCTCTATCAAAGTTTGGTTCATCCTTTCAACTACTACATTTAAATGTAGTGTCTTTGGAGGTGGAGAACTATAAAAGAAGCTCTATTATGTTTCCCGACTACACTATCTTCGTAGTTCTTGAAGAATGCCAAATCTAAACTAGGTAGAACTTTCACTTTCACCAATTTCAATACCAGCTTGACAAAATCTATCATTTCATAAAAATTTGAATTTTTTTTTGCACATATAGTGTTAGAGTTTGTGTTTTCTTATAATGATTCAGGAGCCTTTGGTCAGCTTCCATTCTCCAGCTTCAATGATAAAAATAAAATAATTTCCATAATTTATTTAATATTATTATGCTCAAGACCATAATTGTTTGCGTATTTTGCTACAGAATTATGTTAATTATATAAACTTATTCAAGCTTCTATATGTGTCATGTCTTTTAGGTTCCTGATGATTCGATTGATCCAACACAAGATGTTCGGCGGTATTGGGTTGTTCTTGTGGTACATAAACATATATATTTGTCAAATTAAAATATGGCCTCTATATAGTTATGCTTTTCCTTTTGTATATTAATTTCTTGTTTGGATGAGGCAAAAAATGGTAGAAAAGAAAAGAGGAAAGAAAATGAAGAGAATAGAAAATGAAAGAAAAAGTTCATTTTCTCCCTTGTATGGAAAGATAGAAAATGAAGAGAAAGTGATAAGAAAAAGGAGAAATTATCTGAAATAATCCAACCTTTCAGGAATTTTCCAAAAACAATCCCATTTTTCAATGTTATGTTAATAATCTCAACTTTCAAGTTGTTGCACATTTTAGGTCACTGTTACCCTCTTGCTGGAAAAGTTAATGTAATGATGAGTTGGAAATTCTTTTATTTTATTATTGGCTCAAAATAATCCCACCTTATATTGAATTATGTAATATGATCCCATTTTTTATATAACTTTTTTTAAAGTTATGTGTAAGTGCATCACTATCGAAAATTTTATTAATGAAGACCAATTTTTCTTGAAATGATGAGAAATGTAGAAATAATTTAAAATGAGCTCCACTATAGTTTTGGCGTGATTTTTTCTAGTAGACCACAAAAAGGTGGGTTACTATTTATTTTAGTTAAAATCAATAAATCAAAATAAACTACATCCTATGTCCCATAAACTCCTCTTTTCTTTTTGTCTCACAAAGTTTTTTCCATTTCTATTAAAAAACATTTCTACCCTTCCTAATTCTTAGATTACCTATCACATCATACTTTTTTATTAATAATCTATCCATCACATTCTACTTTTAACCATATCACATCAAAGATATTTTTGAAAAGTCTACACAAGAATATTTCTCCCTTTAAGGGACGGAGGAAGTAGTTTTAACTCTAAAATCAATAAACTACAAAAGAAACTAGTTAAGTAATGAAGTTAAAATAAGTTTATTTGATATTTTATTGATTTTATCATTTTTAATTAAAATAAAAAAGTATTTTATCTTTTTGTGGTCTACCAAAAACCCATCATGCAAAAGGTGTAACTACGTTCAATTTTATTTTTATAAATTTTACATCAATAAATATGGATCGAGACAAAAACCTAAAAAGTTAAAAGTGAAATTATTATATGCAATTAAATAGATGCTAGGATTGTTTTGCACAACTTTATGAAAGGTGAGAATGTAATGGTGACCCAAAATGCACAACTTGAAAAGATGAGTTTTGGAAGGCCGTCAAAAGGTGAGATTATTTATAATAATTTACAAGGTCATGTTCTATTGCTCTTTGTGTATGATTTTCATCACAAAAGATTTTTTCCCGTGCGGGCGATTAATCTTTCTCTTCCCTCCCCTTCTTTCTTAACACATTGGGTTGTGTTTTTTTCTCACCCATTTTCTTTCTATTTTCTCTCGAAACAAACAACAGTAACACTGCGTTTGGTTCAAAGAATTTGAAAGGGAAAAAGAAAAGAAAAGAAAATGAACCAGAAAACAGTTTTTCTTATTTGGTTAGAGAGGAAAAGAAAGGAAAAGTGAAAAGAAAAGAAAATGAGAAGGCAAAATGTATCGAGTGGAGGAAAAATCAAATTCCACCCATTTTGGTGAAGAAAAGGAGAGAAGATCATTTTCTTTTCTTTTCCTTCCTAATCTTTGAACCAAACATAGTGTAAAAGATTCATCATCTATCTCAAGACATTTTCATATATTTTCTCATTTTGAATAATATTTGTTCATTGAAAATATTTATTCTTCCTAAACCATTTTTATTAAAGAAATTGATGTTAAGAAAAATCACCTGAGTCCAACATGAGTAACCAAAACAAAGAGTTCTGGCTGAGTGGATGTAGTTCAATGTATAAAACACGAGAGAGAGAGATAGAACAGTACTACCTTGAGCATACAAATTAGGATTTGATTATAAGTGTTGACGTGAGCATTTATAAGATTAAGCTACTCCACTGTTGAAAACAATGATTTGTGATCATGCAACCCTCATATCTTTGCTCGAGGACCTCCGTGCTTAACTTTTTTATTTATGAAAATGGGAATGCTAAGTTCTAGGATGCTTGTCGCATAAACTAATCGAAGGCATGCCTATCACCTATTGGGAGTCACATCTTACCTCAATTTTTGTGCACCTCATTTTTTTACAACTATTCCAATTTCTTCCAACTTTTCTAGTTTTAATAACATTCAACTTTGAAATTTCAATCTAAAAGAACATACTCTTAAATAGACCTGACAATCGGGTCAATTGGTTCGGTTCCAGTTTGGATCTTTTCGATTCGGGCCTCTTTCGGATATATGTTATAATCGGTTTGGTTCAGGTCAGTTCGGTTTCAAGTTTATTTCAGTTTAACTAGTTTTTTGGTTTTGGTTCGGCTGGTATAATTTAAATATATACTAAAAAAATTCATTTGATAAATAAAATATCAATGAATTTGATCAATTTCAGGTCTAATCGATTTCGGATCTGATCTCATTTGGTTCAGTTTTGATTTGGATCATTTCGAGTGTTTGGTACTATTTCGGTTCTTCAGTTTTCAGCTCAATTCGGGTTCAGTTCCAAGTTATTCGGTTCAGGTTTCGAGTTATCGGGTCTGAGTCAGTTTTGCCAAGTCTACTCTTAATGCATAAAAAAGGAGTTCTTTAAACTAGAGATTATAAGTTTAGTAACTTAGAAGAATACTTGTATTGTTTAGTCTCACATTTTCTATTTTTCCTTTTAGATGTTTTAAGTGACACTCACACCGATTCTTTTTTAGGATAACAAAACTTCATTAATGCATAAAAAAACGGGTAGCACACAGGTGTATAGGTACTTAAACAAAACGTTGGTTCTTTGCCCACGTAACAAGAATATGATAAATCAAGACCTTACTTACACTTGAAAGAAATAAGACCAAGATCTTACTTACACTTGGGTAAGAAAAGAGTATCACATTCCCCTCGCAACGAAGAAAAAGAAATACCTAAAGTAGAACAAAAAAAACTTGACCAAGACCTTACTTACAACACTTGCCAATTAAAGAACCGAAATACGACAAAAGAGGAGCTCTACACTTTTTAACATCATTAGCAACTTACTCGCAGTCAACATAGAAATCTCCACACTGAACCTCCAATGTCAGATAATGCTTCGCATCATACCATAGCTTCCACCATCAGTGAGTCCAAAGGGTAGTGATATATATCTACGGAAGACAGATATCCAGCCATATTCCATTGTTGAGGTAGACCATCCACATCCTTGTACTCATTTCATATTGAACAAACATGTGGACTTGATAGAGAAAGAAGTTATCTCCAACAAAAATTGCCTCAAATTTTGGACGGGCCACTAATAGCATTGATAATTCCTCATAAAATGCATCGGCCCTAACGAACCTCCATCTTTTTTAAGTGTCCCGGAACATTTTCAACTACAAATAATAATTACAAATTGTTAACCTAGTTAACAATACATTAAAATTTAAATCTTATTTTAATAATTATCATATTGGAGAAAATAATGGAAATCTTACATGCT